GTGATATGTCTTGTCTAAAACACTGCTGGATAATACATGTGCAAGGACTTGACTGGGTTAGTTATGGCTACTATAAAACAAGAACAGCTTCTGCAAGCTAATTAGAGCTATAACACTACACTACCCTCTCTGCATTTCTGATTTTAGGTTTTTTTGTTACTATATTGCAGCGCAGTTGTTTGTAATATCCAGAGTGGATTAGTGGGATATTTTTCCTTTCTGGTTTGCAAGGTTTTTGTTATTGAAGCAGTGGAATCCAAGCCTATAGGTTTCTCTCTGCCCAGACTTAGGCTGCTACCTCATTCTAGCAAATAAAGTTCCAAATAATGGCAGTACATTTCATTAGCCTCTACAGTTTTCCTTACCTGAAAACAATGAAATTTTTCCACCTGCTCCATTTTGTGTTAGTATAATTCTTTGGTTATTAATATGTGTGAGGCTTTTTTTTTTGTGTGTGTGTGTCCATCCCCAAACCTGGGCTGTCTTGCATGTTATCACACTACTGCCAGCTGCTGAGTATGGGTGTGTTCCTTCAGCTATCTTGTTGCATGCTTCATTCTCTGGCCTGGTATTTCTCACGTTCTTGCTTTTACAGTTGATGTTATCCTGACCTTGAATAATGTATTTGTTTCCTTAAAACGCCTAATTCTGCTCCTAGTGATACAACGCTTATCCAGCCTCTAGTGAATTTTGCTTCAGGTAAATCCCCTTTGGTATGGAGCAACACTGTATACATTTAAGACTAAACAAATGGAGAGATTTGTGGCAGGTGACTCCTACTACTGTCCCCCCCCAACCCCAGTTTCTCTATTCTAATAATTAAAAATCATATGAGATTCTGTGGGGTCTTACATTCCCATGTTACTCCTCAGGAAATGGGGAGTGGGGAAAGGAAGGGAGTCTTGAGTAGTGAATAATAAGGGCTGGGAGCAAATTGCTTTGGAGCCTTACTCCCTTTCTCTTCACCTGGTGTGAGGGAGGGATAAGGGAAGGCATGATGCATGGATTGCCCTGCCCCTAGCTTACAGTATTAAATGTTTCTTGGCTTACTTTTATGATCAGTGAGTTAAGAACTCTGAATAAACAGTGAAGTGAAAACGACAGACTTGGTTCAGGAATAAAAGTGCTTTTGCTTCCTTCGAGCATGCGCAGTGATGCACTCATTCACTGTAGAGTAAGCTCATATTGCAGCACTGATCACTTCCATGCCTGCTTTCAGAAGTGCTAGGTAGGGACTACTGTGAGATACGTTCTGTGCTGAAACCACTGTGCTACAGAGAAGAGAAGGAAACAGTGATCCTCATGGATCTTTTCTGGGAGAAAAAGAATATGGCTGTTCTGACAGATTAAAAACTTGACAAAAGCACACATACCTCTCAAAAATCCTTTAGTAGTACTAAATCCACTTCAGGCATATGGGTGCAGGGCTGTCTTGGTTCATTATAATCTTAATAGACATTCTTAGATGCTGTAGTAATGCTTTGATATTTACTGTACATGGAGGCATTACTTTTGGAGCAGCCTTATTTCATTCTATTGGCCCATGATGTCAGAAGCAGGTGTTGGTGTGGCAGCAGAGACTGAGCCTTCCTGCCAATATTCTTTTACAGTTTGTTACTGTGCGACACACGGCAGCTGAAGGGCAGTCAGACAAAATGGCATCTAAAATGGAAGGTGCTTATGAAGCAAAGGTAGGTCACGGAATTCCTCCTTGGGGGGAAAAAAAGTGGCACCCGCTGGCATTCACTGATGCTTGCTAAACCTTTATGGAGACCAAACACTGAATGTTAGGACAGTTTGTGTGTTTCAGCAGTGGCAACAGCAACATAAAAGACAAGCACATTCTGGATAGCCATACACAGCACATATAGAATTGCAGTCAGATATTCAACTCAAAAATTTGATCGTATCTCTTTACTAGGCTTATATCAGGCTTATCTCAACATTAAAAAAAATATATCCCTTGCCTTACAGTTATGTCCTGTTCGTGTCATTATTTTTGGTGGTACGTACATAAAGGCATAGGAAGTATAAAATAAGATCAAGTCTCTGATGAGCACCTTGAGAATTGTGACCACTTCCATTGAAACAGACATTGATGCCTTGTTTTCACAAAAACAAGGTCAAATGTCCAACTAGTTTTGCTTTTGTTCTCCTTATTTAATGTTTTAATAAGTAAATATATAAGAGAATATATAAATAAGTTTTATTATATATGTATATAGGCTATATTTTTAATATGATGCTTAAGAAGATTTCTCTTCATTCAGCAAGGCCCAAGCATGGTCTAATCATTTTACAGTGAATCATTTGTTGCTGCAAAGCTTGCCATAAAGGCTGAGAAAACCAGTTCTATGTGCATGCTTATTTCATGCAAGGACATGTGCTTCAGACTCCTTAGAATGTTCAAATGAAATTCACGATCTGGATACTAAGAGTTGTAGTGACCTTAGTTGTAGAGTAACAGCCTTGAATTCTTCAATTTGTAGATCCCTGGAAACTTTCAAAGATGATTAAGAGCTATACAAGAAAGTATAGAAGTATACAAGAAAGTATAGTTCAGAAAGTCTATTTGCAAATTCTGAGTTTAAGTCTTAGACGTTGTCCTTTCTATTGGTCTTTTTTTCATCTGTAAAACCAGTTGGCCCTCAGCATCGCTGTAAAGTTGTAGCAAGGAAGTATCTGTTCTGAGATGCTAATATATGGCTGGGGAAAAGCAGTCATACCAGCCAAAAGGGTGGTGAGAATTGGAAAGCACCAGTACTGAAAGAAAGAAATATTCTAACCAGAGCTTTAGGCTATATTTCAACAAGGAGTGAGATGCCTAAGTAAGTGAAATGCAGAGGCCCCACAGGCCCTTCTCAATTCTGCTTTATCTTGTCATTACAGGCTTTTTGGATGAGACAGCACATGGCTTAGTTTGCTACTGCTTGGATAGTTAATTCTTGAGCATCCATCCTTACCTTGAAGATGAGTTAGGTACCTAACTATGATCTGTAAATCTTGTTGTGATGAGCACTGTCTTTATTCATGCAATATGAATTAGCATTAACTAATTCTAGTGTCTCTCCAGATCTGTGTCTAAAACAGCTAACAACAAAGTTCAGCTGATTTGTGACTTGCTTATGAAATGTTACCATCAGAAGGTTAGGAAAGAATAGCTAAGGAAAAAATTCCTTATTCTTGCTCTATTTGGGCACATAGATTGGCAGTGCACCAGTGCCAACTTCGCTTGCTTTTGTGGCTGTTGTACAGAAGCATGCTTTTCTGTAGAATACAGCACAGGAAGCACTTGTGTATAACTGCTGTAAGGGCTGAAATCACATAAGTAGAGTTCACTGCAAGTGAGCATAAAGCTTAACTGTTACTGACACTTTTCTTTACATAAATATTCCATGATGGATGATAGAGATGTCAGCCCAGCAATCTTGATTACTGTTTAAGTTACGTGAACACTAGATGAAGGTGTTGATCCACCACCTTTTTATTTTTGTAAGTTAAATTTGCATTCCATACCCCTGTGACAGGACATCAGTTGGTTTCCGTTGCAGATCTAAGATATCTAACTGGGCTGAAATGTGGAAGATGGTGAGATGCGTGAAACAAAACTCACTCTTCCTTCAAGTTCATTATCAATAAATCTCAAAAAAAAAAAAAAAAAAAAAAAAAAATTGTTAGTAGAAAAAGACAAGTATAATAATCTTGTCCCTATTCTGGTGCATCTCCCCAAGTCCCGTGTAGTTATCATTATGCAGCTGAGAAGAAAGGTTTAGAGAGGAAGAGGCAGTTTGGTCTACTAAGGTAGCCAGATTCTCCATGTTCTACTCTCTCACAGTTCTAACCTGCAGTGTCTTGTTCTCTTCCCAACTTCTCTCCCTACCCCTCGTCATAGGTGGGTGTTTGTTGGGCATGTGGTTACTAGGGTAAGAACTTCCACAGGTAAGAAAAAGGATGACCAAAAAAATTACACCACACAATCATAAAATTCAGTAAATCTCTGCGCTACACGAGCAGTTAAAAGACTTGTAACACTTTAAAAAAAAAAAAAAAAAGAAAGAAAAAAAAGAAAGAAAGAAAAAGTAAGTTCTTAATGCAGATTTAAAAATGGAGGTGATGCGGTCAAGGTACTAAAGTGAAAACAGGCCATGAAGGTCCTCCAAGGAGTGATCAAATTGCTATTTTGCCCTACCTTGGCTGGAATGAAGACCTATCTTCTGCAACAAAAGTCAAGAATGTAGTTCAAATTTTCCATCTGCCTCTAGAAACAGTAGGTATAAATGGGGTTAGGGAGGGCAAGTTGACATTACTTTAGGGTGCTATTACTTGCTATGTTGCTGCTTGCCGCAAATCAGCCTGTTAACATAATGATTCTAATGGAAACTTACATGGTTTTCCAGCTTAGATAAAATATTTATGAATTAACTGCAAGCCACAAGGTGGTGCTCTTAGCCTGCATCTTGACTACAAGGGAAATTTTTTACTATTCCTTTTTAATAACATATAGAAGGAACATAGGGAGAAAGGCATGTTTTATAATAAGATCAATTTGGTTTCAGCAGCAATCCCACAGACTGTACCACACAAAGTGTAGTTTATAACTGAACAGTTTTTTCTTACCTTCAGAGAATTTCAAGAGAATAAACTTTCTGGGACAGTCAATTCAAATAAATGGCTGAAATTCCAAGGATATATAATGGAGAAAAAAAAAAAAAAAATTACAGATGAGCTACCTAATAATAAAATTCTGTTGATGAACACCTGGTAGGTAATCTCACATTAAACCTGCATGATGAATCTGCAAGTCTAAAATTGTTAATTTGGTAAAAAATGAATTATTTACTTTTCCTTGAAAGGCACATTGGTGTAGTTGTGTACTGCATACCCTCCCCTTCTCCCTCCACTCAATTTATGAATCAAAGAATTCCAGATAGGCATACTGACTGTGAAGTGAGTGTGATCTTCCAGGAAAAACAAAAAAAAAAAAAACAAAAAAAAAACACTTATAGCATCTTAAGTTCTGTATGCACATACGCTATACAAGGTGAGCATAATAAAAATTAGAAACATAGTTACCTTTTATCTTCAACAATATTAATATATCATAAAAATATTTCCATAAATGTAAACACATGCATAGTTCTTAGTAAGATGAACAGCAATTCCATGGTGTTTGTGAAAACTCCATGCCTGGAATACAAAAAAACTGGAGACTTTCCAAGCGATGCAGTTCTGCCAGCATGACTAAATTCAACTTATTCCTTTTTTTGCTCTTCACCTTTAGATTCTCTTAGCACTTCTTGCCATTTTTTCTCCATTTCTTCTCTGCAGTTCAGGAAGGCCTCTTCCAAGCGCCTCATGGAATTGGTCAGGTCAGGGTTGGTACGCATTACTACCATGTCATATGCCATCCAGGTTGCCTGAACTATAAACACAAGAAATACTACCAAGCCAGAAATCTTGGCTAAAAACACAGGGGGTGATAAAACAAAAAAATAAAATACATTATTATCAGTTCAGATTTTATGTTAGAGGCAGCCTGACATACAACAGAAGAAGCTGCCCACAATAATGCTCAAAATTAATAGATATAATAAATCTGATATTATTTCCTTATAAATGTCTCAAAATACTTCAGTATGGAAGTATACGGATGTATACACTGTAAAGTACGAAAGGGTGATGGACATTTTTACCTACAGTTTAGAACAAAGTGAGTAATTAAAAAGAAAGGCACTACAGGCTTTTTTAAAATAAATGAACTGAACCAAAGAATTCCCACCAGATCAGTAATGTTGAGGAAGAGGAAAGCAGTGAGGAAGAGGAGAAGTAAGAAGGCCACAGAATGGAGATGAAAAACTATTAAGAACAGTGAAACTAATGAGATCAATTCAGAAAAAAATAAGTATCTGATAAAGCAGAGGAAATTATTTCTGTATTTATTGATATTTTCCTTCTGTTTTTATCATAAACGGACTGTTGTTTTCTCAGCAACATTTGCAAGTTGCCACTAATTGCAAGTTGTTTAATTATCCCTTTCCATCTATTCATGTTGGTTGCATATAGTTTCTGATAGAACTGCTGCAGAAAATAAAGAAGAATATGCAGTCCCCACCATAGGTAAGGGACTAAGATTAAATTTGCAAAGGAATCTTCCATGTGACTAATAAATAATTAAATATCACACACTAACTTGAGTTACTGTACATTCCACCATTTTTCAAAATTAAATTTCATTTTATGTTTTTATCTGTTTTAATTGACAGTTACACACCTTAATATTATTTCTGTTCTCAGCCACCACTCTGAACCAAGCATGTTCTACTAACTTTTAGTTTGATTGCTTGCACTCCTTCTCTCAATTCAGGGCATTAGCTGATGGTGATTTTTCCCACTTACGTTTCTATGACATGGGAAAGTTCATAGCAATAAATATAAATAATACATCTTCAATGTCTTCACTCTAGTAAACAAATCCATGTTGTCTTAATAAAGACCTTTACCTGTCAGTTTTTCCATTTCCTCCAGAAGTTTTTCTAGGTCTCTGTTCAGGTCCTCTATCATCTTCAGCATATTGTCATAGTTTCTCTCTTGAGGTTCTTGTCTGGCCATCTACAAGGAAAGCAGGTGTTTTAGAATTTATTTTACTTTAAGGTGAGTTGATTTCCCCTGTTGAGGGAAAGCAACATTGCAGTACAGTTTATTATTTAAAATATATACAATTCTCAATTTAGATATGAATTCATTAAGAATGTGACCTGAAAGTAACCGGTTAACAACTGTCTGTTGCATGCTACTTATAATTCATTTTGAAATCATTTTCAGTGTTTCAGAGAGAATTACTCTCAATATGCTGTATTTGTGCCAAATAATGATTTTAGTATCTGCATCAAAGAGATAGACAATTTCATCTACTGTTCTGCTACAGTTGTCTTAAAGCCTCTCTCTTAAATATTCTGACACAGGGGAATCCCTGATTTCCAATATGAGCTGTAAAACCCCCACTCATGTCCAGTATTTCACACACACACGGTAGCACCAGATAACTGCACATACTAAATTCTCTAACTGTATATGCAGCTAAGCTGTGGGAGCAACCTCAGCTTAAATTTACTGAAAGCAAAATAGATCGACTCAACCTCATCACTGAGTTTCAGAACCTCGGTATTATCCGAAAAATGAGACCTTGCTTTTATTTCCTTTCCTGAAAACAAGGGATGGGGTGATACTATGGAAAGAGCTCCACTGTGGTAATTACATCACACAGTTGGCAAAGTTTTTGTCAGTTTTCTTTTAAATACATGTAATTGTTCAAATGCTATCAGAGGGTACCCACTTTCAGGTTTTTATTGTAGATAAATGTGGAAGAAATGCCACGAGTTACAGTGGATTTAAAGCACTTAAAGCACTTCAGATGAACGTCAAGCCTCATCGGGGTGCTTCGTGTTCAATCTTACTATGTAACCGCGCGCCGACAAAGCCAGGGCGCCAAGAGTCTTAAAAAAGTGGCCACGGTCCCGATTTCACCAGGACCTTCAGCCGGCACGGTGGCTGCAGGGCTCCTGGCAGCCAGCGCCGCTGCGAGGCCGGCCGAACACCCTTCAAGCAACAGCACACCGCCCGGACAGAAGGCAGAGCGCCGGCTTTGCAGATCCCTGCACCTTTGCGTTCACGCTCCGGCTCGTACCGCCTCTCCCTCGACCCCTCCGCAACCGACACGCCCGCCGCCCCGCCGCCGCCCAACCGATCGCCTGGGTTCCTCCCCACCCCTCCGAAGTCGCGTGCGCAGCGCGGTTCCCTCATGAGCCTAGCAGCAGGGACGGGCGGGAACGGGACACGAGAAAATGCTGTTCTGCCCTTCCTGTCCGCTCGTGCCTGCTCTGCCCTCGAGCTCACCGCCTCGGTTAATCTTCTGTTTCACGACAAGAAACACTTCGACGGGCAGTTAGGCGGCCGTGGGAAAGGAAGGGGAAGGACGCGGGGCTGGAAGTGGCGGTGCGGCCGGCCAGGTGTGACCCGGCGCCGCTACGGGAGGGTGCTCGCCGGTTCTAGCAGCGTCCTGTCCGCCCAGCCTTCCTTCCAGCGCGGTCTCAGCCGGCCCCGGGCCGCGTCAGAGCGGGCGCCTCAGCGGGCCCCCGCCGCGGTGCTCCCTGGCTATGGCCTCCGGTGCGGGCCTGGCCCGCTGCCTGCTGCGTGGTGCCTCGTCCCCGGCCTGCCACGAAACATAAGTGCTGCAGGAGGCCGGAGAGCAGGAGGTAATCCAACCTTACCTGTCTGCGGTTCCCCGGTTCCCACAGCCCTACATCCCCCGATGCTGGCGTCCTTCAGCCGCCCTGCCGCTCCGGGCCGGGGACCCCGAGCTGTTGCCGTGAGAGATCTGAAAATAGGTGCCAAGTGATGCCTCAAGCACAAACTCTCGAAGTTGGATACGTCTGCTTTCTTTCCTACAGAGGTACACCTGCCCGTCTTCATGATCTTTGTCTTTACAGTTATTGGAGAAGGTGTTTGCAGGGCTAGGCAAAGAAGGGCAAGAAATTTTACGATGGCTGAGAAACGAGGCACAAAGTTTGTCTGATTTGTTGATAATAGGCATTAAGTGGTATATAGAAGGCTGAGGGTCACATCCCTTTGAATGGCTCGCATCCCTGCTCATGTCCTATTCTCTATTCATATCCAAGCCTTACTATCTGCTTCTACTAGTATCCAAACCTTAAACTGCCCTCGTTTTTAAATAATGGAGTATATTGGTATTTTAATTATGTGTGAAACTTTCACTCATCTCTTGTTACCACTGCTCATTTCGCTGCCAGCTATTACTTATTGTACACCATAAGTAGCTAGTTTGAATATTGCACTCCATCCCTATACAAGAAAACTGGAATTTATCACAAAGTATTGTGTTGCTAAAATTTTGCAAGGTGTTGAAAGTAGGCAAAATCTTTCAAAACGTATGAAAGAAAAGATAAAACTTGGCTAACTAAGTTCTTGTATTACTGGAGGCAATAGAAAGCATTGTGAGAAACACCATTTTATGTTGTTTCGAACTTTAGTTTCCCTAAGCAGTCCCACTGCCGGCTGTCTGAGGCACAGTGCTCGCTGATGGATCCTTTGTTTGAAGTGGCACAGCCATTCTGATGTTTTCTGGCACCCCAGCTTCTGAATTCTCTGCCACTAAGCAGTCTCTCAGATGCAGCCACTTATGTATATGTGTGTGTTTGAATGTTCTAAGGAAACTCGTACTTGCTCTGGTATTGTTGTTATTTAATATTGCTCCCTTGCTCTGTGAAAATCTGGGCAAGCATTCTGCTTTCATGCAGTAATTTGTTCATGCATTTCATTCTAGTAGCTTAGTTATAGCTATTATAGCTATAGCTTTATAGTTGTTGCTAGTGTATAATACTATCCAGACTAAAATCCATTTGCAGTGACACTGGTAGACAGGAAAATGTTCAGTTTCAGAGTGTCTGATTTATTTGTCATTCTTATTGACTGTTCTTTAGGGCACAGTGATGTGTTAGAAAGTGAACTGCAGGTCAAAAATGCATTATTAAATGGAATAGTTCTTGAACATATTTTTATGTAACAGCGTTTCATAAAACTTTTGTGATATGTACTTTTTAGTTCTAGTAAGGTCTCTGTGGGTCTCTGTTGCCCTTGGAGTCCTGGAAAGAATCCATGGGATAACTGGATAAGCACTGATTTTGGGATGCCAAAGAGCAGATCCTTTCAGAAGAAACTTGCTTTCTGGACAGTTACTCGGAGTTTGCTGATTTTTGTGACTTTTCAGCCACAAGATAAGCTGTGTGGTTTTAACAGTGTCTTCAGGTAGGAAAAAGACTAAGTGTTTTGTGGCTGCATTTGCCATCAGACACCAAAGTGCATTGTAGAGATTACTGAGCAGTTGTGTGTGGATGGGATGGTTGTTTCATATGCTGTAGATGTCTCAGAGATAAAGAGGACATTTTTGTTAACAGAACTGCCACTCCACCAATTTCAGTGCACCTAATCATACTTGCATAAGGAAAAACAGAGGAAAGAACACAAACATTTAAACAGGCAGTGTTCTCTTTAGGGATGTGCACAGACAAAATAAATAACTTATAACAGAAGTTTGCATTTAACGGGATGAAACGTGACAGTAAATGTCTGCTGTCCCTTAACCGAACAGGAGGAAGGGTTTATGGACTAGTGAAGAAGAGTAGTCTGAGACCTGAACTCTGAACTGTTTAAATATCTTCTCCGACCAGTTTGACTGGGAGCACAGCAGAAAGATTAACTAGGGAAACAAAAAGGAAACAAAAAGCAGTGGGGGTTGCTACCTTTGCATATGCGTACCTTGAATATTAACCCCTTGCATATCCCACTTTTTTTTCTTCCTGCAGATGGGGTCTTTAGAAAACTGGGGAAGAAGGAGTGAAAGGAGGAATACTATCAGTTATTGTATTTTGAAAGCCTAATCCTAAATAGGAATTGGGTTCCTCTGAAGAGATTCCCCCAGCTGCCTTCACAAAAGGAGTCTGTGGAAAACATATTTCAATAAATAACACACATAAAAGAGGAAATGTCATTTTCAATATAGCCACTTATTAAAACAGGAATGGATTATAGGACAGATCCTGTGCATCTTCATGGAAAAAATAACAGTTGATGCAGGTTAGCACCAGAAAAAGAGGATGACAGAAACCAGAGCCTGAGCTTGAAATTTGCAGCTGTAGTGATCTTTGTAACTGAAGTAAATGCTCTGTCTGGAACATGGGTCTCCATGTTCCTGAATTCTTGGGCTGCACTGTGTGAAGAGGAATTGTCTTGGACAATATATAAAATACATAATGTAGCTAATGTATTTAAATACTTATTTTGTGTTTTTAAATATTTTTTATTAAAGCATTCAAAAAGGAGAGCAACAGAAACATGAAATCAGTGGGATATTTGACCTTGGTTTTGTGAAAATAGTGCATCAATGTCTGTCTGATTCAGTGAAAGAAGCTGCAATACTTGTGAGGTCTCAAGGTGCTCGTCAGAGAGTTTTGATCTAATTGTGCCCTTCCAGTACTTCAGCCTTGAAAACAGTTGTTCACAAATGTATGTACTGCCAAAAAAAAAAAAAAAATTGCTGACAAAAAGTAAAGCGTTATTGTTAAGTGAGGGATATTTTTCTCTGATAAGTTAGATCTCAGCATTTTATCCCAACTCAGCCACCTTCCTTCAGAAAAGCAAAAGATGCCCCCATAATCAGCATCCATACTTTGAAGGAACTCCTAGAACTGGTTCAATCCTTTGGCCATCATGAAATTCACAGCATTGCTGATGATTTTCGTGACTACTGATTTTGAAAGCTTTGCATGTAAATTTTCTTGTTGAACGATGCAGCACCATTTCATCAAACATGAGTTGCTGACAGCAGTTGCATCGCCTTCCAGTAACTTTTGTAAGTCCCCCTTTTTTAGCAGTTGTCGCCGGGGCACCATCAGTATCTGTACCAGACATGCTGACAAAGGTTAAAGAAAACTGCGCTAATGTAATTAAAGTAAATGCAGTAAATAAATAATTTCTTCAGTGACATTATACTTGTTATCAGTACCTCTCTTGAAAATGGCAAGCTGAGCCATGCCTGCAGCATCAGTACTTTCATGTGTCACCAAAGCATAAGATTTGAAATTACCAGCTTCACTCTCCAAATTTCTTTTAACAGTTTCCTGTTTCTTCAGTTTGTTTGACTATAGTCCAGTGCAACAAACTGATTCTAGAAAGGTCTGCTTTTTTATAAAGACACATTATATCTGCCATGCTTTTCATATGTTGCTTGTTAAACTCATTGTCAGTAAATGGCTGTGATTTTTTTTTTTTTTTTTTTTGTATTCAGATTCCCTACCACATAACTAGCTTTTACAATAGAGTCCATTTGAGTTGTTTGATTTTATGCTAAGGGATCGGTGTGCACCCTGAGCACAGTCAGAACATTTAGAGGGGAATTGCCACCAGCCTGATGGCATGGGGCAGAGAGCGGGCTGCATTGTGAGCTGTACTGGGCCACATGCAGGATGAGGGCCACAGGTTGGATGTGTGCAGTCTAGGGGATTTCTCTTCTCTTTTTTCAGGAGGCAAAACTCCACATCACTGCACTATTCATTAATACTGTTCTGCTCACTTCTGTCAGCCTATGTAGAGATCGAACAATGAAGAGATACAGTCCCAGTATTCACCATTTTGCACACTTAGACATTAAATACCAGATGGAAGAATAATACCAGAGTGAAGCTTGGGATGTTCTGCTCTGCATATATATTGATATATGGTCATTCTTGCAGATAAATTATCTATTGTGTTTCAGTATGTAACTTGACCTCTCTACCTCAGTCTTTCCTAAATGAATTAATGTACACAGCACCAAAGTATTACTACAAATAGGAATGGTTTGCTCAAGGAGTTGGTAGAGATCATATCATCTTCATGTCCTCAAAGCTATCTGTGGCATACTATTGACTATAAAATGAACTTTGTCTCTCAGTGTTAGGTCTCATGTTGTTTCCTCTTGTAATACAACAACTTTCCACTTGTGTGACATAGGTAAGCAAATAATCTTGTAGAGGCTTGTTTAACCAGGAGTCAGAAATCTGAAACATGAGATTTTTCAGCAATAGGCAGAGGCAGTCTTTGAGCTTATGTGGGGAGCCTGCAATCAAGCAACTGGCATTTAAATACAGTGGTTGCCTGGAAGAAAGTCCCCAGGGCAGAAATGCTGAGAAAATGAAATGCAGTAAGGAGTACACCTCACAAATTATTCAGGATTGAGAGCATTCGCAGAGCTGAATGATGTCCTCAGGCACATATTAACAGGACAACATCACAGGGCAAGTTCAAGAATATTGACAGATCTTGTTAGGGAGCTCAGGACATATTTGAAGAGGTTTTGTAAGTGTGCATCCATGATGGGATTGTGTAGGGAGCTGCAGGCTGGGCTACTGGGAGGACAGGGAAAGAGAAGTGACAGCAGAGCTGAAAAATGAAAGCAGAATGCAATGGACAGCCTGAGCGGGAGGGATACAAGGGACAAGAATGTAAGAAAAACTTGCATTGCTGCTGTCTGTTCTGTCATGTTTTTTATTAATCTCTTCTCCCTTTGCTCATTGGCCTGTTCTCTATCATGCCATGTTCCTGTTAGAAAGCTTTTTCAGCGTCTGGGTATTTTAGGGATTTTATACCATTTTTCTGTTCCGATAACCCTTTTTTTTTTTCTTTTTTTTTTTTTTTCCCTCTAAACGTGAAACATTAATATGGAGAGCATGGTTTCCGTTTGTTATGTTATTCCTCCTGGTTTGTTGTTTATCTGCCTTTCAAATTACACTCCAGGTTCCCACCGAAGGAGTCTTCGCCTTGCTCAGCTCTCATCAGTCAGATGGATCTGTTTCATGAGTTTGTCCCTGCCTGTCAACTCGTGTGTTAGACTTAGGA